CCAGCCACCGGCCACCGCTGCTGCCCAGCTCCAGCTTGTGTCAGCGGTCAACCTGTCCACAGCCAAAGACTCCAAGGCGGTGGTGACTTGCGTCGTCATCGTGCTCTCTGTCTTGGTTTGCTGCCTGCCACTGGGTATCTCATTGGTGCAGGATATGCTGTCCAGCCGTGGTGGCTTTGTTCTCTACCAGTTTGAGCTGTGTGGCTTTACCCTCATTTTTTTCAAATCTGGGTTAAATCCTTTTATATATTCTCGCAACAGCGCCGGACTTCGGAGACGAGTCCTCTGGTGCCTGCAGTACATAGCCCTTGTCTTTTTCTGCTGCAAGCAGAAAACGAGGCTTCGGGCCATGGGCAAAGGCAGCCTGGAAGTCAACAGGAACAAGTCATCGCACCACGAGACTAATTCAGCGTACATGCTGTCTCCAAAACCTCAGAAAAAGTTTGTGGACCAAGCCTGTGGCCCAAGTCACTCCAAGGAAAGTGTGCTGAGTCCCAGGGCTTCTGCTGGGCATCAGCACTACGCACAGAGCAGCTCGACCCCCATGAACACCCGGATTGAGCCCTATTACAGTATCTATAACAGCAGCCCTTCCCAGGAGGTGAGCACTCCGAATAGCTTGCAGCCCATGAACTCCACTTTTGGGTTTGCCAAATCCTACATCGCCATGCACTACCACACCACCAATGACTTGGTGCGGGACTGTGACAGCACTTCGACTAAGCAGATCCCAGTGCCCTCGGTGTAACCTTGGGAAAGGGTTCTGATCTAGCTCAGCCAGCAGGTGCCCTCCTTGGGTTTGGTTCATGGTTATTCTGAACTCAATGATAAAGTACTGCTGCTAGTTAAGAAAAACACCACTGCTGTTAATATCCAGCGATTTGCATTTGAAGTGAATACTGTGATATTACTTCCGTGACGCTTTCTGGAATTTTTGCGCAAAGTCAGAAAGGGGAATATGTTAGACTTGTATTTGGTATTGTTACATGAGGGTGTTTTTGTTACTAATTTTTACGGCTGGGCAAGTAAAAAAATAAGCATTATAACTATGTGATTCATTTTGTCACAAGGTAGAGTATCTCAGAGCAATCTGAGGCTGCACCAGAAGTATTACCTGCTAAACTGCATTCTTGCCATATTTTCAAGAAAGAAGAATTGGGAAGATGCTTGGTGTTAAATTTTAAGTTTAAACTCTTCCCACTGCAGAAGTTGAAAGAATATGTGGTAATTTGCGTCACTAGTAGCAGCTGTCACTAGTAACGGAAGTCCTTCCTGTGCATAGGGTGAAATCCTGGTTCCATTGGGGTAAATGGCAAAATTTCTATAAAATTCAAGCAGAGTTTAAGATTTCAGTCTCAGTCTCCTAAAGTGGCACAAAGCATTTTAGAGAGTGTTACATTACCACTGGGAAAGGACTTCTGAGAAGTGTGGCGCTGTAATAAATCTTTCATGTATATATATCATTAATTTCCGCTGAACGTTTATTTTAAGGATCGGTGGCATTACATATCCCAAAATAATATATCTGGAGAAGTATTTTACATCTGATAGAAATAATTGTGCAATACTTAATTATAGATTTTACTTGAGGATGAGAATGAATATTGCAATATTACTGTACTGGTACACCATTAGTAATGCAGTCATTTCTGGAATTTTCTAATTTGTAAACTGTTACAGAGTTATGTGGCTGGTTGCTTTTTTGTCTATGACTTTGTTTAAAGCTGGGACTTGGGGGGATTCGGCTGTGATATTCCTGACAGGTAGGACTGATAGCTGCTACTAGCATTTTTAAAAGCAGAATGACCATGAGTTTTTGAGGTTTTCTTAAGAAGTCTAGGATCACTTTGATTTTAAAATTATTAATCTGGCTATTTATAAAATGTACATGTGTTGTTGTATGCAGTGAGCAGGTACCAGAAGTTAAATATTTTTTTATAAGTCTGATCATTTGTGTCATTGGGTGTTGTGAGAGTTCCTTATGAAACAGAATGATTTGGAGGCATTTATATTTCTCACAATTATTACTTTAAGTGGCCAGATCTTCTCAAAGCAAGCAATCACCTTTTGACCTCTTTGAACTTCAGCAGAGCCTTAGTATCTCTGAAATAATTGTGCCACACACTCTTGGTGCCTCATTATAGGAAAATGCCACAAATTTAGTAAAATTACAATGATGGGAACATGACTTGTTATTTTAGAAACAAAAACCATTCTTATCATTGCTGTGTTTGAGTCGTTGTTGGTTTAAACTATTTAACTAAATTATTTTCAAGATTTTCCTGAAAGACTATTAACGTTACGAACACTGTTCTTTGTTTATCACTCTGAGTTTTAATTAATTTTGGATAATTCAAGACAGCTTTCTTGCAATAAAATGGATGTGAACAACTTTCTAATACAAATGTAAAATTGAAATTATTTCCTTAAGTCATTTCTTTCTGCCCAGGTATTTTTCTCTACAAAGAAATGACGTGGTTCTTCCTAAAGTAATTATACAAGATAACTAAAAGGTCTGCCTTCTGTGGTTTGGCTGTCTTTGCATTTCTCTGTAATACAAAGCAGACTAATTTGGAGGGGGGCAAGTGTGAGATCCTGTCATTTTGTTTCAAACTATATGTTCTTAGCAGCAATTGCAGTTTCAGATGGTAAGGACTATAGGGCAGGACCCAGAAGTGCTTGCAAGGTGGGGCCCTCTGTATACTTGGAGGGAGCTGAAGGTCCACGTGAAGACTGGTTTTAACACTGCATGTATGTACGACTTCTGCTGTGCTCTTGGTTTAGATCACATGAACTTCATCACATGACAGAAGATTAAATCCCCCTCACCTGATTCATAAAAGTAATTTGCATTGAGTATTTGTGTGGGAGCAGAGCAAGAAGGGGGTTTTATTGCCTTTATGTGATGTATTACTAAGACAGAGGAACTGCACTTCCTTCAAAGTACTTTGTAATGTTGCTCTTCTATTATCTCTCAATGCTAGTTGTGTTCTTTATACAACCAAGGTGTTAATATGTTTTTTGTGCCAGATGGGAAAGTGTGATGCCTTGTGATTTCCAGTTTGAAGAAAATCTGAATTAAATCATCAGTTTTACTAAATAAATGTTTAGAGGGAGGCTTATGGATGTAGAAAATAGAGATTGGATTTCAAAAATATGTAGGTACAATTTCTTGGAAGTAAATAATGAACTGAAGTAATTAGTTATCATAAGATTTAAACTCATCTGGAATTGTAACTTTTCTTTTTTCCTTTAGCTTCCTTGTTGTATTTGCTGAGCACAGAACCAGTAAAGCATGACTAGGAGGTTCAAAAACCAACGAGCTCATTGAGGGGGAACGAGCAACAGAGTGTCAGATGAAGGAGACAGAAAACATATGTGAAGAGAGGAGATGGGTAAGGGAGTAAGCAATAAAATTATGTGAATACTGAATGATTTAGAAAAAGTAGATCTGTAGCCAGTGGAGTCCATAACACAAGAGCAAGAAAGCATCTCATGAATATGAAAGGTGGCAAATGTAAGACTCGAAGTGCTGTACTTGCCTTACTGCCTGTACATACGCTGTGGGCCTCATCACTGCAGAACTATTTAGACAAAAATAGGAAGGTATAACAGGTATTTCATGTGGGTAATACAAATATCGGGAGCCCAACAGTTAATACCAACATGTTTTGGAATATATGTGAAATTTTATACTTCAGGAATTAAAGCAATCTTTGATTTCTGGCACTAAGATGAATGCGTTGCAGTGGAACGTGTTATCCAATGTATGTTTTCAGTGTGCTTTTCAGCTTCTTTTGAAGTTGCTCTTGTTGACTGCTGTTATGGTACTTGGCCCAAAGAGTTTGTGCTATATTCTAGAAAATCTGTGTTTGTGATGTTAGGTGTTCTACTGGCAGTTTAACCAGGGTGTCTCATGAAATAAGGAGTAGCCTCAAAGGAAGCAGAAAGGTTACTAGAAAAGCAGCTTATTCATCACTAACAAGTAACTTCTGGTTGTTTACATTAACAGAAATATTTGAAAGATTTTATAATTCACAGTCAATTACATATGTTGCTTTATGGCTGGTGACCTGCAGCATTGCATTTTTTTATCCTTTATACAAAAAAATCTAAAAGCTGCTAATGCCAAATAATTTTAAACAGTATCTATACAACCTCAAAAAGTTGCTAAAGACAAAGCTGCTGGGGAAAAAAAGTCCCAGTTCTCTCTTTCGCCAGTTAGCTGGCAGCAATTTAAAGAACGCAAAAATAATTCTGCATTCCTGAGTCTGTGGTGATCTGCTGGTAGATCATTTGGATTTGCTCATTTTTCAGCAAGTCCTGCTTGTGCTACGCTAAATGGTTTGTTCTTACCTGGTATTTATTTTCTATCACACTCTGTTGCTTTTCCTTGACTGAAAATTAGGTCAGCTGTTTTCTTTTTTTTTTTTAGTTTATTTTTTCAAACACAGTAAGTAGTTATTAAGTGGCACTATGTGATGACAAGAGCTATGCAGAGGTAGCACTGAATTCATTTGCAATGGGTCAGCGTCAATGTGTCTAAATAATAACACACAGAGATTTTCCTCAGAGATTTATGATGACGACATTTAAATAAAATTCACACCAACTGTTTGACAGTAGGTACTGACACACTCAGCTGGCTCTTTTTGGATTGTTTGGTTGTATATGTTAATCTGTAGTTACAAAGTATTTGGAAGTCTGATCTCTTGCACCACTGGTGTGGATTTGCAGTTGCATCTCTCAGCTTGCTACATTAAGGAAATCTTTTTTGCTAGACCATAGGAAGAAGCTGTTACCTGTGTACTGTCATGGCTTGCATTTTTCTTATGTGTGTGTTGCCATCTTAAGCTGTGCTAGAACTGAGGATGTGAACTACAACCTTACCTTTGAGTGACATCACTTTTCCTTGCAATAATCTCAAGAAGACAGTTAGGACATGCATGTGTGACTTAAGCTGTTCTTCCTTTTAGGTGACATCCACGGCATTTTAGGAAATGCTGGAAATAGCTGAAGAAAATCAAGCACCTGCAAAGAAAAAGCTGTGTATCAGGGCTCTGGTCTCAGCACTTTGGGTAGTGGATTATTTTATCGGACGGAATGATGCGGATGCTACAAACCCACTAATAACCTCTCCTGGCACTGATCCGAAACATCCCCCCATTGCAACACAGCAGCCTTTGCAGGAGGTAAACACAGAAACACTTTTATTTGACAGCAGACTTTGCAGCACAACCTTTACGCATTCCTGTATCTCATTTCATCTCATACATATCCTGAGCAGCTCCATTTTCTGCTTTCACAAGAGGTTCGTTGGTTGTTTTTAAGACAGCTGCTAGCTGACGCCAGAACATTTTCTGTTTGTGTTCCTCCGGGCTCCACTTTAAGTAGGTTTTCCTTTTGAGCAGTTTTCTGAGTTTGCTGAACTTCTGTGGGACGCTGTCAGGTGGGAGGTCTTCCAGCACAATCATGATGAGGGAATCCTGGTTTTCGTTCAGGACCCGATGTTCGGCAAAATACAGCTCATACTGACACCAGCAGCTGTTCACAAAACTGGGAGAGAGAACAAAAAGGACTTTATGGCTGTTCTCTATGCAGTAAAAAATGTTACCAAGTACGGGATGCCCTGGTTTGAAATCCCTCTCGTGGTAACATATCTTGAATCCTTCCATCTCCAGCTTCTGCAGTAGATTCTCTTTCGTCCAGTTTGCGTCGTGCTCGCTGTACGAAATGAAGGCGTCAAAGGGCTTGTTTTCTGGCCTCTTCTCGTACTGCTTCCTCTTCGCCATACACCAGTACCAACCCATCCTCACGTACCACAGCCCGTCAAACCGCCAGCATAAGCCTGCCAACGCCAGAGCAACCAGGATGGCGATGCAAGCGGTGATGGCCATCTGGATGCCCAGGGAGCAGTGCAGAAGTGTGAGGTTACTGCTTTCCACCAAGGAGCCCCGCCTGTGTGGTGGAAAGCTGCACTTGAGATTTCCTTTGCCGTTTATCTGCAAGTGGGGGTTGCGGGTGTAGACATTCACGAACCAGTACAAGTCACAGTTACAAAAAAAATGTTTCCCTTGAAGGGTCAAAACGCGCAGGCTTGTTAACTGGCCAAAAGTGTCCTCCACAATGGTGGAAATAGCATTGTCGCTAATGTCTAACTCAATCAGAGAAGCTGGGAGAGAGCCACGCTGCAGAAAGGAGATCTTATTCCCTGACAAATTAAAATATTTCAGTGTTGAAAGAGATTTCCCAAAGTAATCAGGGAGTTCTGAAATTTGATTGTGACTACCATCCAGGTTAGTAAGTGCAGAAAGGTTGCTGGTGGGTTCCAGTCTGGTGATCATGTTTCCAGAAATATTAAGATACTCGAGTTTCTCCAGGACATCAGTTAATGACAACATGTTCAACTTGTTTTTACTAATATCACATTTTGTTAAAGTCAATGGGAAATACTCGGGATGCATATCTGTAATTTTATTATTCTGAATATTAAATATTGTTAAGTTGGAGATGGACTTAAAACTAGGGGGTATCGTCTTAATGTCGCTGTTGCTTATGTCGAGATGCTGCAGGGTGGTAGGCAAGTGAGGAAGCACAGAAATTGGGTTGCTGCTGAGATCCAAAAATAGCAATTCTTCCATTGTGTCAGCAAACCACTCCGGCAGTTCCACGATAGAGCAGTTGGACATCTTCAGGTGTTTCACTTTCCTTGGAAGACTTTCAATGGGTGTGCCAGCCTCATTCCTCACAAGTGAAATGGCATTAATTGTTACAGCTCCAGAGGAAAGGTTCTGAGATGCTTCAGGACGTGCTGTGTATATGAAGTGGTTTCCTTGAACGTACATGTTTTCCAAGTTAAACAACTTCCTAGCAAAATTTTGGGGTATTTGGCTTATATTGGTGAAGGACAAATCAATTACCCTGATGGTTGAAGGGAGGCACAGATTATCCAAGCTGTTTATGGGATTGTTGCTAATATTTAAAAAGAAAAACATGCTGAATGGGAATTTACAGATCGCCTCAACATCTTGATCGTTAATTTTTAATTTGTTGTGACTGGCATCAATCCACTGCACGTTTTTCATTGGCAAAAACAAGATGAACAGAGACAGAAGATCCATTTCCAGGTCGCTGTGACTAATGTCAAGCTCCAGAATACTGTCGAGCTCAGCTTGGCAGAAATTCGGATTCAGTTTTATTTCCAGCTCTTCCTCGGAGAGTTTGCTGTATGACAGATCGAGTTTCCCATTTATTGGTGCTCCGCAGAAATTAGGCCTTAATGTGGCTCTTGGAGCAACTGTCGCATTTTTCTCTGCTTTTCGCAGAAGGTTCTCTGTACTTCGTCTGAGCCTCGAATTAACATTTTGCAGGAGAGGTCGACCTCTGGAATGCGGCAGCTTTTTGGCGGATGCAAGAGGCTCCAGAGCAGCCTCTGAGGATTTCTCAAAATACTTATAAAGCTGCAAAGACCCTGAGGCTTTGCTAGTGGGTAAGAGCTTCAGGTAGGGTGGAAGATCTGATACGTGAAGTTTCTTATCGTTAAATGATAAATTGACAGAAACCAGGCTGAACAGACTCTCCAATGCACCACTTTCAACGTCCTTAATCAGGTTGTAGGAGAGGTCTAAAACTTCCAGCGCGTCAAAACCTTCCAAGTCTCTCTTGGTTATTTTTTCAATCAAGTTGTGTGAGAAGTTGAGAGCTCTTGCAGTTTTTGGAGCTTGTGCTTCTGATACAGAAGAGAGATTTAGATAGGAGTAGTTACAAAATGGGAAGGCATAGGCTGTAGGTGTTCTTGGAGTGAGGAATCCATTTGCTCCACTGAATAAGAAAGAGATTAAGTAGAAATGAAGGCTTTCAGTAAGGATCCTCATCCTGCAGAAAAGAAACGTATGACAAAAAATGACAAAAGAAATGTCATTGCAATATGCTCTGTGTTAATGAATACCCTTAAAAAATAATTCTAGTTCACTTGCAAGTACAGAAATTGTCTCATTAGGTGCATCTGTGAATTCCCTTTTATCTCCATTAACAAAACATGTCTTGCTTCATTATTATTTTCAAGAGGCAATAATAAAAGATGATGACAGAGAACGATTTGAAGGAGAGTGCTGTTCATTCCAGATGAAGTCTGAATTATGTTTTTCTTTTTTTTTTTCCTTTTCTTTTCTTTTTTCCTTCCCCCTGACTCCAGGCAGGCAGGGAGCAGCCTTTACAATGCAGTCTTCCTGATGCACAATCTGAGATGCACTTTTGCAAACGGTGCTTGAGGCTCGGATTTTAGAGTCTCTTATCCTGGTACACAACAACCAGGTAAGTCTGACCCATGCAAAACCTGTTCAGCCACTTAACTAGTGTATCAGAGTAATGTGGCAGGGATCTCCACATAAGTGCGACCGTGTGTCTTTTTGTGATCCCATCCCTTTGATGGTTTGCTCTCAGCCAAGAATTTACCAGTGACTATTTATTTCGCCTTACCTTTTAGAGTAATGAAAAGAGTAAGTTTGCTCTGAAGTAGGATATGGGAGGACTTGTCTAAGGCAGCCTGTACCGGGAGAGGTCACTGCCTGTGCATCATTAATCTTCGGAGGCTTCTCATTGCCTGGCAACATCACTGCCCAGCCCCTCTCCTGCCCCACATCTGTCTGTCACTAGTGTCCTGACACCTCCACTCCACAGCTTGTATTTATTGCCTGAAAATGCAGGTGCAGAACTTCAGCTGAACAACCTGGTGCTACCATAGTACCCTTTGCTGCCCACCAGGCTTGGACCATCACGTTTAACTGAAGAGAGAAGGGACCCCAGCAACTTCTCGGCTCTGTCCCCTGCACCCTCCACTGCTGGCAGGTGCTCTCTCACACCGAGCAAAAATACACTGCAGCCGGGAGCAAACGCACCATAGGGACAAGGAAGCCCCCAGAGTATTAGAAGTGTTTCATGTTTAAGGCTGAAAGAGTTCCAGTGACCCTCCCCGTTCCTCTTACCCCCCTTCTGCCTGCTCTCCTCAGCGCTGCTCCTCTGCTGGTACCTGCTGCTGCTGACGGCCCCAGGAGTGGAGCGGGGCGTGCCCGGATGCCCCTGGGAACCACACGAGCTGCCTGGCTCTGTTGAGACAGGCGGCATCTGTAGCCCCACTTCCCCCTGCGAGGCTGACAGAGGAGCTTTGCGCCAGACGTACTTCTCCGTGGTGAAAGCTGTACATTTTTCCTCATCTTGCCAGTACCAGCAGCTGCTCAGCCTATTGCTGAGGGGAATATCAAAAGTGGAAGTTGCTTGTTTTAACACTTGGATGCTATGAACAGTGTTGGTCCAAGGGATGTGCTGGCTTTGCTATTACCAGAGTGTCGCAGGGAAGGTCTGGAAGCACCAAGAGTGACCACAAGGTTATAAAACTGATTTACTCCCATGATGTGTTTTGCTGTGGGTGCATTTCCTAAGATAGCAAGGTTTTCATGTTGGGTTTTCTTCTGTGTAAACAGGAGGTCTCGTGCAACAGAAGTACTCCTGCAAAAGTGAGCAATTGTATCTTCCGCGCACTTCAGTTAGAAGAAAAAGAAATAACAGGAAATTTTCTCAGTGTTTGTAGTGCTGCCTTGAAAGATGCACTTCTTGTAGCTAGTTCGATTCAGGATGCCAACAGAAGGGAAGTCAACACATTGCACAATGTGCAGATCTCTATCATCTGCTCTGCTTTTTCCGCTATTGAGGGGTTTTTTTCCAGTCTTTTGTAACTGCCAGTGACTGGAAACTCTTGCAGCAGCTCAGAGGCTCCCCTGTGCAGTCTTGGGGGGCTGGAAAACCCCAAGGTTGTTTGTGCAGCATTTCTGGTCTGACTGGACACTTTCTTGCCCCAGCAGGTTCTGGGAATTGCCCTGAAGGCATCCATTCTTCAGACAGTTCCTAACCTGCTTTAGTAGAAGAGACAGGAAATTAAGAGCATTTGGGGCATGTCAGGAAAGATTCTTGCCTCTGCTTTCACCTTGGGGTGACCCTGTGCAGACAGCCATTTCTGCCTGACCGGTCTTCCATCCTTCATCTAAATACAGCTGGGAAGCTCTTGAAATTCTTCTCTGTACTCTTTGGGAAGATGGAGCATCTTTTTTCTAGCACAAGGCCCATCAAACCATGTCTCCAGCTGGCCATGAGAGTAAGGTGTGGTTGGAAGTGACAAAGTGGAAAAGACTATTTTTCAGTACAGGAATGGTTATTCTGCTGATATACTGTGCTGACATTATTCTAACTTTTGTTTCAAACAGCACATGTTCTGCATATTCATTTATTCCTTTCCAGGAAATATACTTGTCTGCCTCAGTGCAGCGAGAGGCATTTCTTTACCACTCAAGAAAATCTTTCTGAGACCGACCGTCTTATTTCACCCCTTCAGGTAAGTGAAACTTCCAAGGCACTGTCTCACCTCCCATACTGAGCCACTGACTCCTCTCAGCCATGTCTATCACCTGTGCAGATGTCTTACATAAATATTCTATCTGCTTTTTGATAGAGTGTTGCAGCTAATTAATAACTGACATAATTAAATGACAATTAAAAATGAGCTCCAGAATGAATCTCTGTTGTCTGAAGTCTAATGGCTGCAGGTTTGGGGCAGTGTCTTTGAGTGGAGATGCAAATAAAGGCATGGCAATAATGACCTGACTCTTACCTCATACAGAAGATTCTGTTTTAGTTTTCTGATATTCATTCAGTGAATCTTGGCAAGCGAGGTGAACGCTGCCATTCTCGGAGTGGTTTTGGTTGTGTAGGAGGAGCACACGAGGGAGTTGTGCCCTGTGGGTTTTTTGCGTGCATCTTCCCTGCTCCCCTTATCCCCACCTTGGTAGTTTACTCCCAAATCAGGTGTTGGTTTAGGAGAAATAGGAGAGGGTGCAAGAGAAAAGGATGTTCTATGTCATTGTGGATTTGCATTGCTTGCAGGTAGTTCAGATGCAGTGTTAGGAACATATGTGAGCATGATGCTTCCTGTCCAAGGGGAAGTAGAGGCTGAGGAATATGGGGAACTGGGTGCAGATTTCATGGGTTTGTGACAGTGTCGTTTGTTCCTAAAATAGCAAAAGTTGGTATTAGAAGTGCACCAGGATGCTGTGGCTGCTTAATCAAAGATGTTGCACTTCCCATTGCACTGGGGACTTGCCTCTTGTGCGGGCCAAGTGGGATTCTTTAAATTCTGCAACTTAACTATTCTTAGCTTTTCCTCTGATCTAATTGCAACGACTGAGGGGTGGGCAGGAAGGTTTAGTGCATTGCAGTTTCTCCTTCCTTTGGTATGACCCAGCCAGATGGATGCTGAAGAAGTTTGATACCGTCTCGTCCCACGCCGCATGTCTGTCCACGGCGTGACATGCGCATCTGAGTCAAAGCTGGGGCTTCAGATCTCGATGTGGTACCGAGATTGCATCTGCCTTTCCTGAGAGCAGCCAGGAAGATAGCGACATCCTTAATTTGAAATGAAACTATCACAAGGGCTCACACCCTAAGGTTTCCATCTGCTTCCAGAGCCTCCATGAGGAGGATTCAGCCAACCTCATTGCAGAAACAGATTAGGGTAGCTAAGGCTAAATCTGCTTTAATTTTTTGTTACTGTCTGTTGACTTGGGATGCATCTTGGCTGCGGTGGACCTGAGAGAGTGCCACCTCTGGCACTCCAGAGCTGGAGTTAAGGCAGCTGAAGGGTCACAGTGCAGCTGCAGGAGCTGCTGCTGAAATGTTCATCTGAAGCTGGGGAGGTGGGGACCCCTTCCTAAAGCTTTTCAGGTTGTTCAACAAGTCGCTGGAGTGTGGCCAACTTGGCCACACTGTGCTTAATATGGGGCCTGGATTCATACATTATCTATTGCTAGCTGCTTATGGTCTGGTTGACTGTTAGGCAAGTAAAAGAACTTTTTTGAAACTAAGTCCAGAGAATGCTGCTCTTAATGTCTTCTCTTTTCTAAAAGCTACTGGCTAAATACGTGACCAAAATAAGCAAAAGGTTACTTATCAAATGCTTCACAAGAAGACTGAAGGGGAAAAATCTGGGTGGGAGACTCTTCCCCCTTTTTCAGTTTCTCTGTGATGTTGCTAAGCGATCAGAAAAATATGATCAGGAACAATTACTTTCAATGTAAATGCCATAACAGCCTGCTGCAGCTGCTTTTGTTTTCTACTATATAAGACAATATAATAGGTTCTAGCATGTAACCTTCTATTTTGGGTAGTAGCCAACTAGTCATATGTCAAATTGTTGGCAGATTTCTGTCTGACATTTGTTATGAAATTCCTACACCTTGCACAATAGCTTTAGAAAAGAAGAAGCAGCGTGGGCTTACATTTGTGACCAATGTAACATAACCAAAATGCTGCCCAGCTCCCAGCTGCCCTTCCCACCCAGGCATCACCCCAGGCTTTACATGGTGCTTTCCACCTCGCTCTGGTGGAACTTAACCAAGAGAGCATGCAGGAAGCTTTCTCAGCCATGACTCCCAATTTCTGAACTCCTGCCGCTCAGGCCACATGCCTGCACTTTGACTAGCGGATATGTGTCATCTCGTCTGTGATTTTGCATAACTCGTCCACAGAGTCACACCAGGCAGAAGCACTGACCTGTATTTCTGACAACCCAACAATGTCCTCCTGAAGGAGAAGGTAGGGTGGGTGTTGGTAACGGAAATCTACTTAAGATATTGGTTTTAAGTAATACTTCAATTACCTTCTACAAATGTGCACAGTCAGCAGACTAAACCTTCATGTGCCTGCACCAGAAATGTTATTTGTGAGGTAGGCATGCTGCCAGAAAACATCCACTGCAAGGTGGGTGGATGTACCAAATCCTCATCACTGAAAAGGAAACCCCTTGGACAACACACACAGACAGGTGGGA